AGTATGGCCACACCCACCCCCTTAAAGCAACAGCGCCCTTTTCCCCTCCCGCCCCTCCCGCCTGCGGCTGACCACGCCCGTTAGTGGGCGTGGCCCCGCGGCCCCGCCCACCTCGAAGAGCTCTCCCGGGCGCAGGTGGGAGCGGCTGAAGACGAGCCCGTGGCAGTACCCGGCCACGCGCGCCGCGCCCGCGCCCTCGGCCGCCAGCGCCACGTTCTGCCCGCAGCGGCCGTGGAAGCGCTGGCACGGCCCCGGAGCTGCGGACACAACGGGCAGTGGTCAGTGCAGTGGGCAGTGTGGTCAGTGGTCAGTGTGGTCAGTGCAATGGTCAGTGCAATGGTCAGTGTGGGCAGTGCAATGGTCAGTGCAATGGTCAGTGCAATGGGCAGTGTGGGCAGTGCAGTGGGCAGTGCAGTGGTCAGTGCAATGGTCAGTGGTCAGTGTGGTCAGTGCGGCCACGTTCTGCCCGCAGCGGCCGTGGAAGCGCTGGCACGGCCCCGGAGCTGCGGACAGAGAGCGGGCAGTGGTCAGTGCAGTGGTCAGTGCAATGGGCAGTGCAATGGTCAGTGCAATGGGCAGTGCAATGGTCAGTGCAATGGGCAGTGCAATGGTCAGTGTGGTCAGTGTGGTCAGTGGTCAGTGCAATGGTCAGTGGTCAGTGTGGTCACGTTCTGCCCGCAGCGGCCGTGGAAGCGCTGGCACGGCCCCGGAGCTGCGGACACAACGGGCAGTGGTCAGTGTAATGGTCAGTGCAGTGGTCAGTGCAGTGGTCAGTGCAATGGGCAGTGCAATGGTCAGTGCAGTGGGGCAGTGTGGTCAGTGTGGTCAGTGCAATGGTCAGTGCAGTGGGCAGTGTGGGCAGTGTGGTCAGTGGTCAGTGGGTGTGGTCAGGGGTGTGGTCAGTGGGGGTGGTCAGTGGTCAGTGGTGTGGTCAGTGGGGGCGGGGGATGGCAATGGGGGAGGAGTCATGGGGAGGCACCCTCCAGTCCCTCCCAGTATAACCCAGTACAAACCAGAACAAACCAGTATAACCCAGTACAAACCAGTATAACCCAGTATAAACCAGTACAAACCAGTACAAACCAGTACAAACCAGTATAACTCAGTCCCTCCCAGTATAACCCAGTACAAACCAGTACAAACCAAGTACAAACCAGTACAAACCAATATAACCCAGTATAAACCAGTATAACCCAGTACAAACCAGTACAAACCAGTACAAACCAGTATAACCCAGTATAACCCAGTACAAACCAGTACAAACCAGTATAACCCAGTCCCTCCCAGTCCCTCCCATTCCCCCCCAGTCCCCCCAGTCCTTACCTGGTGAAGGGGGCGGGGCTTTGTCAGGCCCCGCCCCCGGGCTCTGGCTGTTGTCGGCGGGGCCGGAGGCGCCGGTCAGCGACACCTGGACACACTGACCATAGAGATCCACCACGGCGTACACCTCTGGGGACACGGGACACTGTCACCTGTGTGCCACCTGTGTGTCACCTGTGTCACCTGTGTGTCACCTGTGTGCCACCTGTGTCACCTGTGTGCCACCTGTGTGTCACCTGGACACACTGACCATAGAGATCCACCACGGCGTACACCTCTGGGGACACGGGACACTGTGTCACCTGTGTCACCTGTCACCTGTGTGTCACCTGTGTGTCACCTGTGTCACCTGTCACCTATGTGTCACCACGCTCATGCTCCCCAACATCCCCAAATACCCCCAGTGTCCCCAATGCCCTGGATGTCCCCAGTGTCCCCCATGTCCCCAATGTCCCCAGTGTCCCCAGTGTCCCCAGTGTCCCCATACCTGGTGGCAGCCCTGAGCAGGCCACGCCCTGGCTGTCCCCAATGCCCTGGCTGTCCCCAATGTCCCCAATGTCCCCAGTGTCCCCAATGCCCTGGCTGTCCCCAGTGTCCCCAGTGTCCCCGGTGTCCTCGATGGAGCCCGACCATCGATCCACCATCTTCTGGATGACGATCTCGAACAGCTCCCCGTCCCGCAGGGCCCTGCGCCCCAAAATCGGGGAAATCACCCCAAAAACGGGACAATCACCCCAAAAACGGGGAAATCACCCCAAAAACGGGACACCCCAAAAACGGGACACCCCAAAAATGGGAAATCACCCCAAAACCACAGCTCCCCGTCCCGCAGGGCCCTGCGCTCCTGTCCCCGTGTCCCCTCACCGGCCTCGATGGAGCCCGACCATCGATCCACCATCTTCTGGATGACGATCTCGAACAGCTCCCCGTCCCGCAGGGCCCTGCACCCCAAAATCGGGGAAATCACCCCAAAAACGGGACACCCCAAAAACGGGGAAATCACCCCAAAAACGGGACAATCACCCCAAAAACGGGACACCTCAAAAACTGGGAAATCACCCCAAACACGGGAAATCACTCCTAAAATGGGACACCCCAAACATGGGAAATCACCACAAAAATGGGGAAATCATCCCCAAAACCAGAGCTGGGACACCCCAAAAACAGGAAATCACCCCAAAAGTGGGACACGCCAAACATGGGACAATTACCCCAAAAACTGGAGAAATGACCCCAAAAAGGGGGAAATCACCCCAAAAATGGGACACCCCAAAACTGAGAAATGGTTTGGTTTGGGGTTGGACTGGGGGGATTTTCATGGGGTTTTTTTGGGATTTCAGAATTTCGGGATTCCCGGGTGGATTTTTTTGGGTTTTTTTTTGAGAATTCTGGGATATTCCGGCCCCCTCACCGGTTGGAGATGCCGATGGCGTCGTTGAACTCGGAGCGGCCGCTCTGGCAGGGTTTGGGGTTGGGGCAGGTTTTTGGGATTCTAATGGGGTTTTTTTGTGATTTCACTGTTTCTGGGTGGATTTTTTTGGGGATTTTTTTGGGATTTTCGGGAATTCCGGGATATTCCGGCGCCCTCACCGGCTGGAGATGCCGATGGCGTCATTGAACTCGGAGCGGCCGCTCTGGCAGGGTTTGGGGTTGGGTTTGGGATTTTCACAGGGTTTTTTGGGATTTCACTGTTTCTGGGTGGATTTTTTTGGGGATTTTTTTGGGATTTTCGGGAATTTTTTTTGGGCTGATTGCGGGGGATTTTGGGTCTTCCCGCAGTGGGCGCGCCGCTGGAGCTCCCGCGCGT